TTCCCAATTTCCAACTTAGTAATACACTTGTTTGTGTGTGCTATCTTAAATTCCTAAATCTATATCTTAAGAGTGGTTCTCTTGAGTGTGAGTTTTAGGTTCTAGTTATTTAGATAAGTGTGTCATATCTTATTTAAATACTAGACTCAACCCCAAGTTCAGATAAGAGTGTGTAATATCTCTTAACCCCAACTTGGTAATATCTATCCCTGATTTCCCTCCACCCCATATCCCTCCATTTCTCATTCTGAAATCCCCCTCTTTTCTTCCCTTAACATATAAAACACCCTATCATTCCTTCCCATAACTTCCCTACATAGCCCAGCCACTTTCCTTCCATATTGAAACCTCGGGTAACCCTGATAATCGATTATCTTTCACTGACAATCGACTATCCAACACCCCTGAACTTCCTTGTCAGAATCCGAAGCCCCAAATAATCGATTATCAACTATTGATAATCGACTATCCCACCCTTCTGAACCTTCTTGTCTCAAACTACACAATCCCACAATCCATTGTTGCTAAAGTGACAATCGACTATTTCCCTTCCCTGAACTCCCAAATTTCCTTCCCAAGAAACTGAACCTCTTGTTAGTCGATTATTATAAATTGATAATCGATTATTCCTTGCTCCGGCTGTTTAAGAAGCTTTGTCCCAAACTTAAAGCTTATTCCCGGAGTTCGGGTATAACAACTTAGCATACCATTTTTATATGAACAGGAATACCTCAAGTTGTGTAGAATGGGTAGGGGAAAATATTGAAATTAAGAGCAAAGTTATCACGTCACCAAATTACACGATAAATTCCAAAATCAAACTACATAAAAATTCAAATCACTTTGCTTGAAAAATATTCTTCTCACTATTTTTAAACAGGCCTGTGTGGATAAACACAAGTGCATTATTATATCTATATTTCATCATCTAACCCGATGAATGCATCATTATACCAATATGTCAAAAAACAAATTAAGATAGTACAAAAACAAAAAAAACACAAACATAATGAATTTCACATACAAACATGCACAGATTACTGATTGGATCTTTGTAATATTACTTCAACCCACAAATTTAGTTTTCATAACTCATCCACAACTCTGCATTATATCATAAAAGATACTACATCAATTACTCCAAATAATTCATCATTTCGCCAGTATTTTGAAAAACACAATGTCACAATAAACAAATATAGAAAGGATAATCATTTAAAATTATTCAAAATATGCCCATTGTTTACCGCTCAAAACCACATGGACCTCAAATGCATAGGACCACCAAATAGAATTTGTGACACATGCAAGAAAACAAAAATTACCAACCACACTCCAACACAATTTGAAAGAAAGTGTTTTTGGGTTTCATATTTTTCATTGTACTATCATTCATCATCCCTTCATGAACTCGTTTTCCTTCTCTATACTCATCTCCTTCGTCTCATTAACCTCTGCACTTGTTAAGTAGCATATTAATTCACTCTAAGTGCACTCATTGGCTTCCAATTAACCTTGCTAAACCCACAATTTCACCCTTTTACTTCGTTCCCCGTGTACATCTAAATATGACGTATTATTAGAGGTGGCAATCGGGTCAACCGAATCAGTTTTGGGTTAAATTTTTTGGGTTTGAATATCTTTCGGATATATGTTATAATCGGTTTGGTTCGGTTTAATTTTGGTTCGGATTTGATTCAGTTCTATACATTTTTCGATTCGGTTCGACTTCGAGTCGGTTCGGATAGATTTTGGTTCGGATAGCATTTGAATCTGATATATTTTGGATATATATTATTTTCTAATTAAAATTTAATTATCCATGTTTATTTTTATGTTTTATCACATTTATCAATCTATCATCAATTCAATACATCATATTATTTTATATTTTTTTAATTATATTATCTCTACCCTAAATAATCTTTCCTTTTTGACTTTTTAGTCATATTTTACAAATTTGGACTACAAATCATGAATATATATATATATATATATGTGTGTATGTATGTATGTATGTATGTATGTGTGTGTGTGTGTCTATATATATATCATTATGATATAAATTTAATATAATTAAATTGATTTTAAAGTTTAGTTTTGATATATCTAGTTTTTCTCACATCTACTAATATATTTATGTTTATAAATGAAAAGATAAAAGATAAATTCAAATAGTGGTATGTTCTATTTGAATACAATTTGGTAAAAATTGAGTGAAATTGGATGAAATTAAGTGAATTTTGTTCAATTGAGTGCAAAATTTATAAATTATTTGAGTATATTTGGTTGGAATTAGATAAAATTAAATTTAATAGAGTCAAATATAAATAATTTTACACTTAAATGTAATTGTGTAGATTAAATTTGAAAATGATAACACTAAATGGTGCTCCAAAAGAGTCTTTTCAAATTGATAACACTAACATCTAATATTATTGACTAATATTGAGTGAATTGGTTTGAAAGTAATCAGATTAAGTCTCAAACCATTAAAATCTATTTTAATTGGATGAAATTAGGATAAAATCTAGTTATTCAATACAATTCATGATATAATCATTTCGTCCCAAAAAGAATATCACACTTCACTATTTAAAAGTTTCAGAAATTTTATTTGTTTGTGCATTATCATTTATTATTTGATAAAATAAACTATTTTTAATTAGATTTTGTAACTTAAGACTGAAATTAGTATTGTACTTTCTATAATATAATAACTAATCAAATACTTAATTCCTTTTCACTTCCCTACTTAATCTTATCAATTTTCTTATGCCACCATTAAACTCATTTTTCTGTTTCTATTCACCTTCAACTCTTAGACCTAATTTTTTTCAAATGATGTTTCACCTTGTTTTTCAAATATTTTATTTCCTTTAATTTTGTTAATAACAAAATAGTTGGCTCACTTTATTCATCCAAAATTTTATAAACTTATCTTCAATTTCTAAATATAATAAATTTAAGGCATGAAGTTTTGTACTTTTTTCAAGATGATAATCCATTTTACGAGGAAATAAGCAAGTAATGTAGTTAGTTCAAATGGTAGAATAAAAGTAAAACTTTAGAAATATAATATGCTTATTGAAAGGCAAACACAGTTGCGAATTTATCGGTTTTAGTTCCAATCGGGTTCGGATATTATCGGTATCGGATCTAATCGGTTTCAAGTTTTAACGGTTTCGGGTATTATCAGTTTCGGATCTAATCGGTTTCGGGTTTAAGCGGTTCGATATTATCGTTTCAGATCTAATTAGTTTCGAATTGAAATCAGATATGAATTATTTAGTTCAGTTTTGGTTCGATTCGGATCATTTTGGGTTTTCGGTTATAGATCGGATCTTCATTTTTCAGATCATTTCGATTTCAGTTTCTGATATTTCGGTTCGGGTAATCAGTTCTTGTTCTGTTTTGTCAGGTCTACGTATTATAGCCAAACCATAATCATAAACGGAACATGTATCCATCTAAGTTGTTTGCACACATTTAGGTGTTTGTGCTAGCACCTTTTATATCTTCCTGTCCCATCCTTGCTTGCTAAAAAACTCCACCAGCATTTCACGTTATAATAAGGAAATTAAGCATATCAAAATTGAAGAACATAAAAACTTAAAATAGTGAATTTTTTTAGAAATAATTTATTGTCTAATATAGATACTTACAATTGTAACTAGAATTTGATTGTAGTTATCATAAAATTTTGCTTTTATAAAAACTTAAAGTAGTGAAATTTCTAGCAATAATTAATTATATAATATAGATACTTACAATTGTAACTGGCATTTCATTGTACTTAACATCAAATTTCGCTTTTGATGTCGAAATATCAAGCACAACAATTCTATTACCTTTTATATTTACACACACACACAATAACACCACTCTAGCTGCATTATCAACAAGAAAATTTACATAATGAAATAGACGTTTTGAGTCACTTCTAAATATCATACAAGATCATCCATTATTACAGTTGATAATTCACAGTCCTACGAATTTTTTTTATTACAATATCCGCACTAAATGGGGTTGCAGAAGATGTTCCAGACTATTGCATCTCAAAGGAGTTCAAATGCAATACCGTCACGTTGGAGTGCGCCTTCAGACGCGTAAAACTGCATCAAACTAATGTCAAGCAATCAAGCATACACCTTCAATTGTCATCGACATTACTAATAATTACAAACATGTTTACTTACGCATTTTATAGTTTTGCAAAAGAATCATGCAAGGGATGCAATGCTATGGTACACTTGCTGTAACACCCTAACTCGGGGTAAATTTCACGTATGGTATACCAACTTTGATGTTTATTTCACTTTGGTACACTAACTTTTTTTCTTTCAGAAAAATACTCCAACTTACCACTTTCTTTTACCGATGGTATTTTAGCCGGTTACCAATCCTATGTGAATGCCTACTTGGCGCACCCATTTAAATAACTCTCTCTTCTCTCCTCTGACGGCCATGCCTACTCAGCCGGTACACCAAACCCCTGATTTGATGATCCGCCATTGACGAGAGATTCAGCTTGGGACGAGAATGATAACCGGCGGTGGGAGCACAACCAACCGGCGGTTAATGATTGGGAAACATGTTCTGCTCATCCATGATTGGGAATTGAAGTTTATGAATGGTGGTTAATCAAAAAAAAAAAGAGAAAGAATGACCCGACCAAATCAAAAGTAAACTCAAAGGGACTTTCGGAGTTACCAGAGCAGAGCAACTCACGCATTGAAAGTACTACTCAGACATCGCCGGCCAAGCCCCATTCCTCGGCTGGAACAGCTTCGGCGATCTCTTCTTTGGCCAAATCGAAGTAGCTTTTGAGCTTGTAAGTCGTGCGCTCGTTGCCGGTGCTGACGTCGTCGATTGATCGGTCGTCAGGGTTTCGATGAGATTCCGGCGAAGAAGAAAAGGTTGCTGTTGATAGTGGAAGATCGAGTTCACGGTATCCACCAACTCCTTGCCCCAATTTCATTTTTTAGCTTCTTCTTCCTCCTTGCCCCAATTCATTTTTCAGCTTCTTCTTCCCCAATTTTTTTTCAATTTCATTTGTTTTTTAATTCTAAACTCTTCTTTAATGTAATCAATTTTGAATTTTTCAATTTCAATTTTATTTTTTTATTCCAATAATTAATACTGTATTTAATTAATTTTAATCTTTTTTTATTGTTTCCACAATTTTTTTCAATTTCATTTGTTTTTTAATTCTAAACTCTTCTTTAATGTAATCAATTTTGATTTTTTTTATTTCAATTTTATTTTTTAATTCCAATCATTAATATTTAATTAATTTTAATCTTTTTATTTTTTCTCAATTGTTTTTCAATTTCATTGTTTTAATTCTAAACCCTTCTTTAATGTAATCAATTTTGAATTTTTTTATTTCAATTTTATTTTTTAATTCCAATAATTAATATTTAATTAATTTTAATCTTTTTATTTATTTTTGTTAATTTTGAATTTATAATTTTATTTTATTTATAATTATCTATCTATTTTTATTAATAAAGAAATATTTGCATTAATTTTATATAAGTTTTATATTAAAAAAGATGAATATTGTAAAAAATGGAAGAATAGGCATCCACATAGGATTGGGTGTGCCAAGTAAGCATCCACGTAGGATTGGTAACCGGCTTCTAACTTGGAAACTGGCTAAAATACCATCTGATGGTGTAAATTACCACGCAAATACTAAGTGTGAGTAATCGGAAGGGTTGTAGGTGGAAACACCTGTAACCCGATTTGTTATTAATGATAATAGGAGTTATTACAAATACAAGCCGTGTCGGTTTATTAAAGCATGCCTCATAAATGAGGCTTTTAGGGAGGGGTATTTATAATAATCCTAAGCACGTCAAGCACGTCTCTGATTATCCAACCGGTCAGGCGGCTGACCGGCCCACCAGGTGCACTTTGAAAGTAGATCTTCGGGTATTGGCGTCTGGTCTCCCCATCCAACCGGTCAAATAACCCGGGCAGAAAAAGACGCGTGCTGTTCGGTGAACCAACCGGGTGGTATCCTTGGGTTATTACCCATCAAGGAGTCCTCCGATTCCCGGTCCTGTGGGGACCATCAGGGGCGGGAAGCACATGCGATCATTTCTTGGAATTTGAACAGCCCAGTCGCTTTTTGGCGGGGAAATCGTCTCGGAAAACCAGCACCAACCCAAAATATTTGAAATTTGAAATTTGAAATTTGAATTTTGAATTTTCAAAAACCGACTGTCCAAAGCGGGAGAATCTTCTCGAAGTCGGGTACAGAGCCGCCGATTTAACGTGCCGTTTCGTCTCCCCGAGAGGTTATGATGGCAAATCATTTCAGCCGCCACGTGTCATTTCTTCATTCGCCCGTCTGCGCGGCATCTCTCCTATATAAAGCGTCGTTCTCCTTGGAATTTCCTCACTTGCAAATCTTTAATTCAAAAACCTGCCCGGCTGCTTATACTATTTCTGAGTCCTCCGAGTCTTCTAATCGTCTCCAAGTAAGTTTCTTTCATTCCTTCTCTGAGTCATGTCAGACCGTGAGGATAGCCAGAACCTCTCCGTTCATTCTTATGGTTCTGGCGGCCGGTCTCCCACCTTTGATTCCTCCTCTTCTTCTTCATCCTCTGACTCTGAGCACCCGACTACTTCTCCACAGAAGAAGCCGGTTGATGCATCCACTTGCGCTCCCTCTTCTTCCGCGGCGCAAGTGGTCTCGGTTGCCCAGTCCGGGGACGAGGGCTTCATTCAGCTAGACGATCGGTTGCTCCAAGAGCAACCGTCGTACATGCAGAAACCCTAAGTCCACGAACTGCGTAATCTGATGCCCGATGGGTATCAATTGACCTACCGGGCAACGTGGAAGAGCATTATACCTCTCCACGCAGGCACGTCGATTGGGATCCATTACCATTCGATCAAGGACTTGGGTGAGTTCTTTATTCACCCATTCAAAGTCCTTTTCCTTGAGACCTACGGGATCATGCCCGGGCAGCTGGCCCCTAATGGTCACCGTTTGTTAGGCAGCTTCATCAACGTCTGCCGGTTTCTTCGTATTCCTCTTTCTCTTCGCCTCTTTGATTATATGTTCGATGTTCGGCCCGGGTCCAAGGAAACCCTTGGATTCGTGGTGGTGTCTTCCCACCAAGGTCGAGCATTCCTTTGTGGTCTTCCACCCTCTAACAAGAAGTGGAAGGAAAAATATGTCTGTGTCAAATTCCCCCCGGGTGCCTTTCCTTTTGCCCAAAACGTCTGGGGGAAAAGAATGAAGCGCCAGGTCAAACCAGCGGAGGCCGATGACCTGGTTGCTTGGGAAGCCACTCTCCGGGCCGGGGATGCCTCCACCCGCGGTCTGTACCACGTTGGGAAGTGGAGCGTCTACCCCGGCCGGGAGACCGACCCCGAACCGGAGATTGTTCTGCCCGGGGTGATCTACGAAGCCATCCCCATCCGTCAGGCGAGGGGATCCAAAGCCCCAGCCACTACCAATGCCGGTCCTTCATGCCCGGCGAAGAAGAAGAAGGAGAAAGGTCAATCAACTGCCCTTCTCATTTTTCATTTGAATTAATTTGTTCTCAACTGCATTCTTCTAACCGGTTCCTTTTTTGTTTCAGTGGTGAAGTTTCAGTCCAAGTTTGCCGTCCCCCAAATTGTGGTTGAGGAGCCCTCCTCCGCTCAGCCACTCACTCCTCCATCCAGCCAGCCACTCTTGCTGGATGAGCAGCCGGCCCAGTCTCACCAAGGGACCAGCCAGCCGATTCACTCGGGGGAGATCTACTTCAACGTAGACACCTTCGAGTTTGACAATCTGATGGGTGAGACTGGACATACGTCCCAGGCGGGGGTGGGAGACCGGCCCAATGAGGAAGGGGAAGCCAAGGAGGAGACTTCGGGGGGGTCCCTTCAACGGAAGAAGCGGAAGACTGGGGAAGTCAACCAGCCTTCCCATCAGGGGCCCAGTCCTCCTACGCCGGCAAGGGGCCAATAGTGCCTCGTTCTCTGGCTTTAATGTCCAGGTCAAACGAGGAGCTCTTCCGAGCATTCCGTGCTGATCTGAATGAGGTAACCCCTTTTCCTCTCCTACCGCCTACTTACCGTTTTTATACTTTTCTGAGAAATTTTCGATGTCTTTAAAGCAGGTCGGCCGGATCGGGGAGGAGTACTTCGCCCGGCTGGTGAAGTCGATGGATGAGAAGGCCCGGATGGAGGCCATGATGGTCGAATGCCGGAAGGAAGCCCAGGCTGCCCGGGCCAAGGCAGAGAAGATAGAGGCCAAATGGACAGAGCACTGTGCGGTTTACCGCCAGCTCTATGCCAAGCACGACGGTCTCCTCAAGGCTGCGAAAGAGGCCGATGAGCAGGCCCAGGCCAAGATCAATCAGCTGGAGGCCGAAAATGCCCGGTCAGCCGAGGAAATCGCTCGGCTGGAAGATGAGCTGCAGAAAGAGCAGTCGGAGCGTGCCGCCCTTGCTGCTCCCTGGGCTACTCAAGCACCTGAGGAGTTCGCTGCTAAAGCGTTGCCTGACCGGGAGACTGCCATCCGCTTCTTCCAAGGCTTGTACAAGTACGAGGTCTCGGTCGGGATCGTCGACGAAATCGGAACGTACGGCTTTGAAAGCGCCCAGTACTCGGAGCGGAAGGCCCTCTACGGCATCCTTCAGCAGAGGATCCAAAGTTTTCAGCCAAAGGCTCTTTCTCTGCCCAAGCTGCACTGCGAGGCGCGTGAACCTCCCTTCCCGGGCATCTGATCCGTCCGGCCTTCCTTCCTCATTTGATTTTCTCTTTTTTTTTATGATGTAATGGTCTGCCTCCGGGCACTTTTGTAAGACATTGAAATATTAATGAAAATATGCTTTATGTTATGTGCTGAGTGTCCCTTTTTTTATCTCATCATTTCTCTTCATCTTGAATTCTTTAACCGTTTAGATTAATAAATAACAGCCCGGCTGTATTTACCCGGCTTAGAATACAATTTTACCCAAGTCTTTTCGAAAGACTGGATAGTCAGCCGGGAAGACTTTAAGGCTGACCTGTTTCCACAATGGCTTAACGCCCCATGTGGATAGGCAAACCTTGAGTTTTCCTTCAAAACGTCTGGCTTAACTGGCCGGGATGCTCTCCCACTAGTAAAGCCAAATCGTTTTTAACTCCCGTGTCAGTACGGATGAGGTGTTAAATCGGTCAGACCGGTCTTCTTCTTTTTTTTTTGAGATGTCCAATTCGATTGGACATCTAACCGGGTAGATTGGTACGCGACGAATTACCGGTTAATATATGAGAACAATCTTTCTGAAAAGAGCGAACTTTTATTAATGGCCGGGAACCCGTTACACTTTATCTATAAAATTTACGTAAGTGGTGAGAGTTCCAGTGTCGCTCGACCCGACTACCTTCCATAGTCTCCAACTGGTAAGTGCCCGGTCTGACAATTGTTTTTACACGATAGGGCCCTTCCAAGTTACGCGCCAGCTTGCCCCTCTCATTAGGCTTACTAGCATCCCTCCTGCGCAAGACTTCATCATGCACCTGGAAGTATCGCGGTCCTACCCGGCTGTCATAATACCGCTTTACTGACTGCTGATAACCGGCCATCTTAACAGCTGCTATGGTCCTTCGTTCTTCCACCAGATTTAACTCAGCTAGGTGGTCGACCTCGTTCTGACCGGGCTGGTACACGGTTTCTCTAAATGTTGGAATTTCCGCTTCAACTGGCAACCGGGCTTCACATCCGTAAGTGAGCACAAATGGAGTTTCTCCGGTTGCCCTTCTTGAAGTCACTCTATGCGCCCAGACCGTGTGAGGCAAAGCTTCCAACCATTTATGGCCTTCTTCACCCAACCTCTTCTTTAGGCCGTCCACTATCGTCCGGTTAGCATTTTCAACTTGGCCATTTCCCTGTGGATAAGCTACTGAGGCCTTGCTGTGCTTGATTCCAAAACTAGCCAAGTACTCAGTGAACCGGGGGTTACGAAACTGCGGACCATTGTCGGTAACAATCATCTTCGGGGCACCAAACCGGGTGATAATGTTTTTCCAAACAAATTTCTCACACTGCCGCACGGTTATGGTAGCCATTGCCTCGGCCTCGACCCATTTAGTGAAGTAATCAATAGCCACCATCACGAACTTCTTCCCGCCTTGGGCGACCGGGAAGGCTCCAATAATGTCAATCCCAAACCGGGCAAATGGTATGACATTAGACGTT